AGACTGGGGCTCAAACATGAATGCGGAATGAGCAATTGATCGCGTCTGGTACCAGTGGAAGTACCTGCCATCCTGAGCAAGCTTCGGGACTGAGGAAGGGGTTAAAAATTGGAAGGATGTGGTGGTTTGGGGTGGGGTTGAAGGTGAAAGAGAGTGAGGGTTTGCCACTGAAACAAATTGCAAAGAAAGGAGAGGTATGCGACGTGGGGCAGTCAGGGTGATGCTTCGAAAAAATTCCAGTTAGCATTTGTGGTTGAAAAATTTAGGGTTCGGGGTTTCTGTTCTGAAAACATGTCTGTGGATCTTCTTGTCATTCCCCGAGGTGCTTGACTCCACTGCATTCTTCTGCCCAGCAGACACTTTGGCCAGCGTGTACTCACTGAGCAGAGCAGAGCAGAAACACTGTGTGTGGGGGTGGGGGTGGGGGATGGGGGGAAAGGATGGTTCTGCGGTGGGCTTGTTTGGAGCGCATTTCTTAGTTCTTACATGACTGCATAGTCTGGGTAGTGCTGCAGGGCATGTTGCAGCTGGCTCTGCTTAACAGCAGCCCCCCCAGCAGGCAAAATCATGACTCATGTGAACATCAGGGACTCCAGCTTAAACTCTTAGCTTCAGGCTGTCGGACGGATACCAGACTCTGCTGGCGTTAACCCCAACAGCAATGCTGCAGGCGGCTGGCTGGCTGACTGACAACGTGCAGAATTCGTACCCCTTCCCTTGACTGTATGAAGTGGAGTGCGGGGTTTGACCGAGGGGGGGGGGGGGAAACTGGATACTTCTTCTGGGGTTGGGGGAAGGGAGGATGGAAGAGACTGATCTAGGCTGATCACAAATTACTCCGAGCTGCCTGAAGATCAGCATTGCAGGACACTTTGGAGCAATAGTGCACATGCACAATAGCCCTCCAAGAGAGGGAACTGAGAGAGAGAGAGGAGGGGAAATAACAGCAATGTAACATTTTTAGAGTGTGTTTCTTAACACAGAAATACCTTGAGGTGCTTTACAGAATGCGATTGATTAGAAACAAAGTAGGTTGTGATTTTCGGGCAAATGCGGCAGTCTATTTAAGGTAAGAACAAAATGGGGAGAGACTAGATAAGAGGAGAGGGGAGAATAATAATCCTATAATAATCCTTACCTATGGATAGTGCTTTTCAGGTTGGGAGGACGCCTCAAAGCACTTCACGGCCACAAAATGTACAGTCAATTCACTTTAGAGTATATTCGGTGAAGTGCGTTGAGACGTCTCAACAACGTGATAAGATGCTATATCAAATGCAAGGATTATTATTATAATACTGTATTTTGAAGGTGAACAAAGAGCGACGGGTGAACGTAAATTCACATTCGTTCAGAAAGAGGTCTTTCTACCTTCGATCTCTCGAGCTAAAACATTCCCTTCCACCCCGAGTGTTTCTTCTGTCTCAGCCGATAATTGATCAACTTGATTGTTGGTGCGAATGGCTGGTTTGAGTGTCGGGGCAGTTCTAAAACCGATCAGTGCAACGTCCAGTCACAGAAGAATGCTCAGGATTCATCTGAATGTAATTCATTTAATTATCTCTCCCTCCGCCTCCTCCCCATTCAGTGTCAGCCTTTATTTGAGGCACTGCACTACTTAGACTCTGAACTCTTGTGGGCTTTTAATCACATTGTGGCAAGTTGGAAGATCAGCGAAGAGACAATGCCCCCGTTTGTCAAAATCTTTCCGCCCCTGTTGTTGTGGGAATGTAGCTAGCAATTTGTCAAATCTGGCATTCCATGCTCAGCTTATGAAAATTTTCAAAGCATCTCCCTGGCTGCCCCACATCACACAGACATTTTACAAAAAGAAAATGCGAGCGACATGGCGACCTTAACCCGAGCCCTAGAGGGCAGAGTTTGTTTTTTATTGGTCGACTGGGTGTCTGGCACATGTGGGTACCCATCACCATGCTTAAAAACAGTATTCCAAACCAGACTGCTGTAGAAAGTTCTACGTATGCATGTATATCTCCTCGAACCAGGAATTGAATGTGTTACTCTTTCCCCTGAGGGACTTGCCCTGATCACCTAATCCCTTGAAAGTATTAGACGTAGGTTGGCAAGAGCCAAGGTTTGATGCCTCAAGAGAGATCACGTGAAAGGTTCCGATGAAGGAGCTCCTTCAACCCATTTGTTTTAATGCTTTAGTAATAATAATAATTATCACATCTTCGAGGCATCTCAAAGCGCTTCACAGAATAGACTGTAAAATATATACTGTATATTTTGTGAGCATAAAACACAGCAGCTAATTGCTAACAGCAGTGTCCCACAAACAGTTGTGGATTTAGTGAACAAATTTTTACAAAAAAATTGGAGGGATTATTACCCCCAGAAAAGCAATCGCCCAGTCGACTTAACAACCGGGTTCCTACTTACTGCTAGGTGAATAGAGGCGTGTGGAGCAAGGAAACTTGCCCAATGTTTCGCCCTGCCCGGGAATCAAACCCAGGTCTCTCGCTTGTGAGACGAGTGCTCTAACCACTGAGCTACAGGATTCCAAAGTACAAGTAATTCAGAAGTTATTTAGCATCAAGTGTATTTGTCGGCATTTGCTGTTCAGAATGAATTGCAGAGTGTTGTGAGCCAGGAGGTCACGATACAATTATTTGCAAATTGGCTCTATCTGCGTGGAGTTGTACAAATTCTGATCTAAGTAGGACATGTCTCAGCAAACTAATTATATGCTTTGTGAACACAGAGGCTTAGCTGCTCATTGTAAATGAGAAATACACGTATAAGCCAGTCATTCGAAACTCAGCAACCAGAGTCAGACTTTTATTCCTGTGCATTTGAAGATTTCTCATATTCATGATGATAATCCTTGTATTTGAATGAGACCATATGCACCAAATGCAAGCATTATTATTCGAAACGAGAAGGGAGTTTTTTTCTGCTGTCCTGCCCAACAATCCCCCAGAAGGCTGCCGAGTTCACCTGAAAACACACAGTAACTACGCTTCACAGGAACATTTTGTGAAGCGCTTTGAGAGAGAGGTGCTATACTACATGCAAGCATTCTGGCAGTTATTATAACAGTGAGCAGCTCAATTGCCATGAATCTGAGCAGTTCTGTGGTATCATCTGATGATGTTGTGCTGTGAAAATAGCTTTCGTGTAGCACATCAACGTGGGTTGACTCTTTCTGTGACGTACCAAGTAATAATGTATATTTTTCAGCACTGGCATATTCCAGTTTTATTGTTTTTACTCCTAACTGGCTCAATTTATTCCTCGCTTTTCAAAAGCTCAGTGTATATCTGGTGCGAGGCATATGATCTAGAGGTGACTGGTGCCAGTTCCAGGCTGGTGAGATCATCTGAGGACATAGTTCCAGGAGCACATTGGGTTTTATCTCTGCGTTGTAAATGCAGGAGATGTGAATTGTACCAGTCCACACAGAAATAATCTTTTCAAGGAGCACTTTTTAAGATTTTATGAAAGGGTCATGTCACTGACTCTTTAATGGCATTAAAGAACTCTGCACATGCATTTAGTTGTCACTCCTCAGCTGAATAGTCACGTGCTGCACCTTGAGTCACAATGTCATTCATGTCTTTCTGTCTGTAGCGCCTGCTCAGAGTACGTGCCCAGCTGTAACGCCAGCCTGTGCCTGCCTGTGTTTGTCAGCTTGAGAGCTGCTCTTTGTCACTGTCATGCCATGCCCCACCCCACGTCTCTGTCTTGCCGTGTTCTCCGGGACACTGCCCTGCTTGAAGGGTGCTGTTAAGTTGTGTTCACGCTTGTCCTGTAGTCCTGTCGTGCCTGTTCTGTGTTACTGTAGAGCCACCTAGTGGCAAAATCCTAGTAACAAGTCAAGCCACCAGAGGGCCTCTCGCTTTGACCTAAAACGCGACCAAAGAAAGCCACCGTCGCCTTGTCAGACCGTTTTGTCTGATGGTTGGATTTTAAAATCGGGCAGAGTTGCGGAAAATTCCCCAAGTCAGGCTTCATTTCGGAAGCTAATTTTTCGTAATCATTAAAAAAAAATAGAGCTCGCTTCCCAAGTTGAGGTTGAATTTTAAGAAATGTTACCAAAACTTCCACACATCATTTTTACAGCTGAGAGAGTGCGCGAGCAGACACGAAGAGCCTTGTTTGTGTCGCTCTGGAGATGGATACAAGGGCAGCACAAACAGCTAACTCACTGCTGTGTGTGAGCATGATCTGCCCCATCCCCTTAGAATGTGTGTGTGAGGAGGGGGAGCTGTTATCTCTCAACAACCATCCTCCCTTTCTTCTCCCCCATTCTAAGTCATTAGAGGGAATAACTCTCTTCCCCATCCCTTATTTTCCTTCATGTTCTATGGGGAGGACTCCACTCACCATCCCAACAGCAGTGGAGATCAAACATTCTCTATATCTGTCTACTTGTGTACAATGTGTGGGTGGAATCATTATTATGCACAGCAGCACTATCCTGTTGACATTTTTTTTAATTATCCAGTAGCACCAGCACTCATTGGTTACAGAAGTGGGTTCAAAGTGTGTGTTAGAGCTTTGGGAACTTAACATAGAAATGCAAATGTCCTGCAAGGCAGAGGGATATTCTGTGTTTGCGTCAAAACCATCAGAGTCCATCAGGCCAGTATCACCTGAGCATCACCTCGGACCTCAAAACCAGCCAGTAATATTAGCAGAAGAATTGGCTGCCCTGTGGTCTACAAAATGCACAGTCACTGCACTTGGAAGTAGTTTGAGACCTTTTGACCTTGTAGTTAGTGTATAAAATGCAAGGATTGTTATTCTCGAATGTCGCTCTCTTCACCAGAGATTATGATTTACCAAAAAATTACTGCGTACACATGAATTCAATATAAATTCTCAGTGTTGACACACTGTTGTTCTGTTCTAAAGCTCTCCAAGATGCTACTCCAAGCAAAGAGCACTGTATAAATGCAAGTTGTCGTTGTATTCACGGTAACCAGATCAAAAATGCCTTTGCTCACCAAATGCTTGTTTACTGTTTACCACAGGAAATACAGAGCAAATCCAAGATTTGTGCCAATGTCTTCTGCGGAGCTGGCAGGGAATGTGCTGTGACGGAGAAGGGAGAACCCACATGTCTGTGCATTGAGGTAAGGTTGTCCTGCCCTGTTTGGATAGACCTGCCACAAAGTTGATGCATCCTAATTGGTAAAGTGGCCGATGGTAATATTGACTGTTTCACATGGTTCTCATCATGAATGCTTAGTGAGTTGGCTTCAACCCCAAATTCCTGTATGAAGCAGAGAGACAGTCTGAAAACTTGAATCTGCTCTGAATTTGCTTGGCTAGGGCTGCATTGGGAGGTTATATTAGCCTTGGCCTTTCCAAGGTTGGGGGGGTGGGGGGGGGAAACTAGTCAGGGTTTCTCCTCCTGTTCCCCTTATGCATTTCCCATCCACCCAAAAAAAATTTCATTCAAAGAACGACACCTAGGAACATAGGAATTAGGAGCAGGAGTAGGCCATTTGGCCCCTCGAGCCTGCCCCGCCATTCAATAAGATAATGGCTGATCTTCTAACCTAACTCCATCTGCCCGACTTATCCCCATATCTCTTAATCCCTCTATCCTTTAGAAATCAATCCCAGTCTTGAATATGCTCAAGGACTGAGCATCTACAGCCTTCTGAGGTAGAGAATTCCATAAATTTACTACCCTCTGAGTGAAGAAGTGTTTCCTCAACTCTGTTCAAAAAGGCTGACCTTTAATCTTAAGACTGACCCCCAGTTCTAGATTCTCCTACTAGGGAAACAGTCTCACACTCTACTCTGTCAAGCCACATAAAAATCTTATATGTTTCTATAAGATCATCCCTAATTCTTCTATATTCTAGAGGCCTAGGTTACTGAACCTATCCTCATAGGTCAACCCCCTCATCCCAGAAATTAACCTAGTGAATCTACGCTGCACCCCCTCTAAGGCGAGTATGTCCTTTCTTAAATAAGGAGACCAAAACTGCACACAATGTTCTAGGTGCGGTCTCACCAAGGCCCTATACAGTTGCAGCAAGACTTACCTACTCTTGTATTCTAACCCTTTTGCAATAAACGCCAACGTTGCCATTTAGTCTTCCTAGTTGCTTGCTGTACCTGCGTACTAATGTTTTATGACTAGTGTACAAGGACACCCAAATCCCTCTGAACACTAACACTCTTCCCCCTCTAGAAAATAATCTGCTTTTCTGTTTTTACTACCTAGGTGAATAACTTCACAGTTCCCCACATTATATTCCATCTGCCACCTTCTTGCCCACTCAACTAGCCTGTCCATATCCCTTTGCAATCTTTTTGTGTCATCCTCAGAGCTTACTCTTCCACCTAGCTTAGTATCATCCGTGAATTTAGATATTTTAAGTTCTATGTCTTCGTCTAGATCATTGATATAGATTGTAAATAGTTGAGGCCCAAGTACTGATCCTTGTGGCACTCCACTAGTCACATCCCGCCAATCTGAGAAGGACCCGTTTATCCCTACTCTTTGTTTTCTTCCCGATAGCCATTCTTCAATCCATGCTAATATATTGCCTTTAATTCCATGGGCCCTAATCTTGTGTAGCAGCCTTTTATGTGGCACCTTGTCGAATGCCTTCTGAAAATCTAAATACACTATATCTACCAGATCCCCCCTATCTAACCTGCTAGTTACATCCTCAAAGAACTCTAAAAGATTTGTTAAGCATGACTTCCCTTTTGTAAAGTCATGTTTACTCTGCCTAATCATGTTATGGTCTTCTAAGTATCCCACTATGACGTCCCTAATTAAGGATTCTAGAATTTTCCCTACCACCGATGTCAGATTGACTGGTCTATAGTTCCCCATCTTCTCTCTCCCACCCTTCTTAAATAGTGGTGTTATGTTTGCAATCTTCCAATCAATGGGAACCGTTCCAGAATCCAGAGAATTTGGGAAGATCAAAAACAAGGCATCTGCTATCTCAGCAGCCACCTCTTTTAAAACCCTAGGATGCAGGCCATCAGGTCCAGGGGATTTGTCATTTTTCAATCCCAACAGTTTCCTTAGTACGTGGATTCCTGTAGCTCAGTGGTTAGAGCACTCACTTTGCAAGCGAGAGACCTGAGTTCAATTCCAGGCAGAGGGCCAAACCTTGGGCAAGTTTCCTTACTCCACACAGAGCCTAATAATAATCCCTCCAAAAACAATAATAAATTGGTCATTTTCAATCTACGACTGTTTGTGGGACATTGCTGTGCGCAATTGGCTGCCACGTTCGCCCACAAATATACGGTCAATTCACTTTACAGTGTGTTCTGTGAAGCGCTTTGGGACGTCCTCCCGACATGAAAAGCACTACATCAAATGCAAGGATTATTATTATTATTATTACTACTAATTCTTTACTGATGTTAATTTCCCTAAGTTGCTCACTAACATTAGCTTCTTGGTTCCCCTCTATTTTTGATAAGTTTTCAGTGTCTTCTAACGTGAAGACAGAAGCAAAGTATTTGTTTAATGACTCTGCCATATCTTTATCCCCCATTATAATTCCTCCTGTCTCTGCCTGTAATGGAACCACATTCACTTTTGATAGTCTCTTCCTCTTTATGTATTTGTAAAAGCTCTTGCAGTCTGTCTTTATGTTCCTAGCTAGTTTGCCCTCATAATCCATTTTCTCCCTCCTGATCAGTTTCTTAGTTTTTTTTTGTTGGTCTCTGAAGCTCTCCCAATCCCAGGGTTTACTGTTCTTTTTGGCAGTATTAAAGGTCTCTTCTTTTAATTTTATATTTTCCCTAACTGCTCTAGTTAGCCCTGGTTGAACCACTTTTCCCGTGGTATTTTTATTCCTCAAGGGAATATGTGATCCCTGGGAATTATGTACTATATCTTTAAAGGTTTGCCATTGCTGGTCTACTGTCATATCCTTTAATCTAATTCCCCATTCTACTTTAGCTAAATCCTCTTTCATACCTGCAAAGTTGGCTCCATTTAAATTTAAGACCCTTGCTCTGGACTTAACTACACTCTCTAACTTAATGCTAAATTCCATCATGTTATGGTCACTCTGTCCTAGAAGAGCCTTAACTTCCAGATTGCTGATTAACTCTATTTCATTACACAAAACAAGAACTAGGATCGCCTGTTCCCTGGTCGGTTCCTCAGCATACTGATCTAGAAAACTATCTCTAATGCATTCTATAAACTCCTCCTCTAACTTACTTTTGTCATTTTGGTTTTCCCAATCTATATAAAGATTAAAATCACCCACTATTAGTGTATTTCCTTTGCTACATGCTCCACTAATTTCCTGGTTAATACTCTGCGCAACATTGTGACTGCTGATCGGGGACCTATAAACTACTGCCTCTAGTGTTTTCTGCCCCTTGTTATTTCGTAATTCCACCCATACTGACTCTACATCCTGATTTTCTGATATAAAATCCTTCCCCTGTACTGTTTTTATCCCATCCTTTATTAGCAGGGCTACACCCCTACCTCATTTTCCACATTGCCTATCTTTCCTATATGTCGAATACCCCGGAATATTTTGCTCCCATCCTTGATCTCCCTGTAACCACGTCTCAGTAATGGCTACTAGATCATACCCGCTTGTTTCTATTTGTGCCATTAATTCGTCTATCGTATTACGAATGCTTCGTGCATTCAGATATAGCGCCTTTAATTTTGACTTCTTGCTATTTCCACTACTCGCTAGTGCCCTATTTTCTTTGCTGAGCTTCTTGTTACTTCTCGACACACTCTGCTTATCTCCTCGCTAATCTGCTCTACCACTTTCATTGTTCTTAGTTTTACTGGTTTACTTGTAACTGTAACCTTCACTTCCCCGGCCCCTTAGTAGTTTAAAGCTCTTAAAGGATCCAAGCTCAAAGTCCCGATAGGGGGCTTGGACCCATAACCTTCTGCCTCAGAGGTGAGGGTGCTATCAATGGAGCCAGAAATGCGTCTGGCTAAACAAAAGCCCCAAGAGGTGGCTCCGTTGAGAATTGTGGTTGTGTGATGGAGTATGTTGATAATATGTCCTCTAGGGCTCCTGAATAAAGCTTTGTACTCGGATCACAGAGGAGTGCCCCCCTCCCCACTTTGAAAATGAGAGGATACCCTGTGGAGCAGGTTTATTAAAATTCCATTCATGAGAGCCTCTGTGAATTAGAAAATTCCTCCAAATAATAATTGGATTAGACATTAGAAAGAAACAAAATGATCTATTTTCCCGGAGGTGGGGGACATGGATGGACAGAAGGACAAGGAGAAGAAATAAGATTCCTTCAAGGGAACATTTTTAAAGGAGTATAAACAAAACAGAAAATACTGCAGATGAGGGAAATCTGAAACAAAAACAGAGGTCTTTGGGAACACTCAGCAGGTCAGGCAGAATTTTAGATGCTGTCTGACCTGCTGAGTGTTCCCAGTGACTTTTGTTTTTATTTTTAAAGGAGTATTGTCCTTGTCTCTCTTTGAGTCAGTTCCTAGCTGTCTCGATTTGTGGAAATTGTCTCGATTCTGCTGATTGTCCGCCAGGTAAATGTATATTTCAGCAGCCACTGTATTTGTCTCTAATAAGACCTCACAGACCGAAATTCCACCTAGATACATAGCCTACTATCTCTGATGCTTTAGTAAGTAAAGATACCACCACAACATACAGACAGACCACTGATGGTTCCATGTTCAATTCCAGTCTGTGCTGGGTTAGATCATCTCAGTTCAGGGCAGAAAGTAATGGAGTATAGTGAGGAAAAATCAGCCAAAGATACTGCTTCTGCTGACGATAGGATGACCCCTGCTGGTCAGAATCTGATCTGAGCTTGGTTGTTATTCCTGACCTGTATGACGGAAAAGCCTACTGACCCTGACTGAGCTCAAACATGAGCAAGGCATCAGAGGGCAGCCGCTGGACAGTAGTCCAGCAAGGGTTAATGGCCTCAGAGGAGAGAGGAGATCAAGCGCCAGTGCATTGCTCTCTGGATGCTGGTGTCCAAGGGAGGGAAGGAATGGTACTGAGTCAGGTGGACCTTAACTCACAGATGTCCCGCTCTGCCGCGCAGTGAGGAATGGGTGCCGTCACTTTCTGATGTGGTTGCTCTTCTCGTTGTTTGGCAGGAGTGTAAACCGCACAAGAGAGTGGTATGTGGAAGCAATGGGAAGACTTACCGCAACCACTGCGAGCTCCACCGTGATGCGTGTCTAACTGGCATGAAGATCCAAGTCTCTCACAATGGAATTTGCGAAGGTGAAGCCAGGACAGCAACACAAACAATTAAATAAACCGCTCTCAATGGACACACAGCACTGACATTTTCAGAGCAATAATGTAATCAATCTTCAGGGAATGTACCACATGCCACAACTTTAATGTTCATGCCCTCTTCAAATATGTTAAAGCTTTTTATTATCAGTGTCTTTCATCTGAGATCGAAAACTCCATCTAGTCTTAGATTGCAGGACTATTTAACGTTAAGATTTAAGGTACGATTTGCAACAACAACAACTTGCATTTGTGCAATGCGGGGTAGTGTCTCGGATCGCTTAATAATGGTGGAGCTTGAAGCTGAGCTCTGGAGAAAAGGGAGGTGACTGTATGTCGGGTCGAAATCTGAAAACTAGCAAAGAGGAAGCAAGGCAGAGGAATTGAGGCAAGAAGTTCCGGAGTTTTGGGGAATAGTGGCTGGAAGCAGAGCCGATGATGTTAGAGGTGACGAGGGACATGCAGGAGACATTTAGCAGTTGGTTCTAACCAATTCTTAGTGAAAGTAAAGCTTCAGCTTTGTCTAATTTGTGACGGCTAGTAACGTGTATTCTGGCTACTGATACAATGAATCTTGTGATGTAACAACAACAAAATTTCATTTATAGAGCACCTTTCACATTGGAAGCACGTCCCAAGGCACTGTAGTAAATGTAGTGACACTTCATTGTGAGAAGTCTGTTCTTGTTCTGCAATTGTGTTGCTCATATCTACCTTTGTCTTCCTTTTCCAGAGAAGAAGAATGAAAAAGCAGCAGTCAGCAGTCCAGGTACGATGGCAGGATGGGCAAATGAGGGTTAATTGAACTCTTCTCACTATAACTGAGGTTATAGATGTGATTTTGCACTTCGGTGAACTGGGGAAATATTACACAAACAGAATTTTTTTAAAACTTTTTTTAAACAGACGTCTAAAATCTCAGCAAAAAAGTCCATCATTTTGGATATTGTGCTGTCTGAGCTCTAGTAGATGAGGTGCCTGACCGGGGAGGTTCAGTGTCTAGGAAATGCAGTACTTTAGAGGTAGCAAAATGCAGGGTATCCCCAAAGTCATGTTGCCCACATGTTTTTTTCTGCATTGCACTGACCAACAGCTGAAACATATGGAAGAATTATGAGAATTGTATTTAGGCCTACTTAGTTGTATCCAGTACAAGTGTTTTAACTGTATTTAGACATCCACAAGATACATGTGAGTGAGCGCCATAATTTTCATAGCAGATAATGATCCGTCAACATGTTCGGCATGACCTCTTCTGAAACATGGGTGGAATGAAGCCAAATATATCTCTGACAGCTTGTTTCAGCTCCTCTGTATTGCTATTTTGCAACAGGGCGCAAGAGGACTTTGTGGACACCCTGTAGTGACTGCAGAATAAGAGATTCCCATTGATTTGAGTATTCAGTGAGATGGATCTAAATATGAATTGTTACAGTGAGCATTCCTGGCTCGACTGCTGTGAGCAATAAAACAAATGCATGCAGTAATGGCTGTGAGAAGTAGGGAGAGCATAGTTGGATTTTGCCTCCGCAGACATCAAATAAAACACGCTGCAAAAAAAAATGGAAATAAACAACAACAACAACAAGATTCCATTTATAAAGCGCCTTTCACGTCGGGAGGACGTCCCAAGGTGCTGCACAGTTGGGTCATGACCCGAGCAGGGGGGAAATGGTCAGGGTGAGGGGAGGGGAGGGAGGGAGCGAGCGAGCAGGGGGGAAATGGTCAGGGTGAGGGGAGGGAAGGGAGGGAGCGAGGAGGGGGGAAATGGTCAGGGTGAGGGGAGGGAAGGGAGGGAGCGAGGAGGGGGAAGAGAGTCGAGAGGGGAGCTGAAGGCTCGGTCAAAGAGAAAGGTTTTGAGACCGGCCTTGAAGGAGGAAAGGGAGGAAGCAAGGCAAAGGCACTGGGGGATGGAGTTCCAGAGCCTGGGGGCTGAGAGGCTGAAAGCCCGACCACCGATGGTAGGGCGATTGGGGCGGGGGACGTGGAGCAGACCGGAGCCAGAGGAACGGAGGGTACGGGCAGGTAGGTAGGGGGATAGTAGGTTGGAGAGGTAGGAGGGAGCAAGGCCGTGAATGGCCTTGTAGGTGAGGATGAGGATGTTGAAATCAATCCTCTGGGGGATGGGGAGCCAGTGGAGGCGAGCGAGGGTGGGAGTGATGTGGTCCCGAAGCCTGGTGCGGGACAGTACACGAGCTGCAGAGTTCTGAATGACCTGCAGCTTGTGGAGGGAGGTGGCGGGAAGGCCGGCGAGGAGAGAGTTCCCATAGTCCAGCCTTGAGGTGACAAAGGCGTGGACCAGGGTTTCAGCAGCGTGAGGGGTGAGGTAATGCCGTAGTCTGGCGATGTTCCGGAGGTGATGGAAGGCGGTGCCAGTTGTGGTGCGGATGTGAGGGAGAAAGGACAGCTCAGGGTCGAACAAAACGCCGAGGTTCCTGACTGGCTTTGAGAGGTGGAGAGTGCAGCCTTGGATGCTGATGGTGTCAGCGCCTGAGGTGCGGAGGCTCTGACGTGAGCCAATCAGGAGGGCCTCGGTTTTTCGCACGTTGAGCTGAAGAAAGTTGTCTCTCGTCCAGGACTCGATGTCGGACAGGCAGGCTGTCAGGACATCGGTGGTCGTGGAGTTGAGAGTAGAGGAGGAAAGGTAGAGTTGGGTGTCATCCGCATACATGTGGAAGTTAACTCCATGTCTGCGGATGATGTCACCAAGGGGGAGCATGTAGGATGTAGGCGGGGGGGACGGAGGAGTCGGGTTGTGGTGGAAAACAGTAGCCTGGGGTTGTTCTTCGCCTCCAGGATTATCCTGGAGTAGAAGGACGACTTGGCCGAGGCTAGAGTGGAGCGGTAAATTTTGAGGAGGTCCAAAGCACCCGCATTCCTAAAGCACTTTTACTTTACCAAGATGAAAAGTTTGCGCTCATTTCACAGTTAAGCAAACTCTCTACGGCAGTACACACAGGACTGGCGATGATGGCAGCAATGTTGTATTCAGCATCTTCTTTGATGTCTCTTATGTGTTAAAGCGTGATCCATAAGATTAAAGTAGGTCACTTTATTGCACTTCTGCGTATCTCTTAGCAGCTTTGCTGTTAGGAATATCATGCTTTTAAATCTGTCTGTCACACAGTGCTTTACATCAGCAGAATTAATTATATAGAGTTGCATAGACGTTACCCATTTCGCCAACAAAATACAGTCACTCCATTATACTGTATATCCTGTGAAGTGCTTTGCGACGTCTTAACAACATTTGGCCCTATTAGTTCCTGCTCTTGTAACTATTCCCCATTCCTGTCCCCTCTATTCACCTTCTCTCTCATATACATTGTAATGTTCCAGCACACCAAAGGAGGTCTATAATCCTTCAAGTGACCAGTTTGGATTGGAAAAGAGTCAGTGGCAGGTCTCTGACTTAGTGGACACAGGAACATTTAGACGTGCTGGGATGCTCATCTCCAAGTGCATACCAGAAGGTTAATTAAAACTTATCATTGTAAGCAGCAAGCCAAATAAATGTTTGTTCAAAAGGAAAGTACTGAGTGTTCTTGGCAGCAACGCAGGACCGTAATATTTAAAGTGAAGTGTTCAAGAAATAAAATCACAAAGCCAACTGGAAGAGTAGGTGACAAACTGACTCATCGAGCTCCATGGGTCAGCTTCACCCCACAAGCAGGAGATTATGAAAACCTGCCCAGACATCCCTGTTAGCTGTACTTCAGCTGTTTTATGTTAAAAATTAAACTCTGAAGTGTCAATAGCCCTTAACTTAGCTAAGCGGCCTGAAATGAGATTTCACTTTCATTTAAAGTGTGCTCGCAATAAATAATTTCAGCACTTAAAAACTTGTGCTAGTAAAAAAGCAACTAGGTACAAACTATTACAATCAACCAGCGGGAATCCTTTTAGTGTGGGCAATGCCTTGTTCATTCAACAAATATTCCCTTTTATACGAGCATTCGTATTCACAGGCCACCTATTAGTCCATGTGCGCATCTGTGCTTCTGGATTCAATCCTATACTTAAATGCCGTGTCAGAGATTTGGGGTCGCAGGCAACATCTAAAGTAGCATATGGTTGCCAGCTCAGGACTCCAGTAGCCACTGTTCACTTGAGCACCTTAGCTGATGCTGTTATCTCCAATCTAGGGTGTAAAAATAAACACTTTAAAAAATCCAGCAAGCAGGAAGACTAAGATTGCTGTGTCCAGTGCAATACCGAGAGTAGTTCAAAAGGCCACACAATGTAATAATCCTTACAGTTGGTATAGCCCTTAGGATTTACTGTGAAATGGAGTGACTGTATATTTGTGGGCAAACAGGGCAACCAATTTGCACATAGCAATGTCCCAGAAACAGCTATGGAGTGAATGACCACAAATATTTATTTGGGAGATTGTTGACCAGGACACCAGGAGAAATTCCCTTCTCTTTTCGAATAGTGCCATGGAATCATTAACATCCACCTGAACAGGCAGATAGGGACTCAGTTGCAGGATGTCACCACTAACAATGCAACAGGACCCCAGTATTGCATTGGAGTATCAGCTTAGATTATGCGAGTTCAAGTCCCAATGTAGGATTTGAATCCATAACAGGCAAAAATCATCCATAACTGAGCCAAGCTGACACACAAATGTAGGATATCATTGTATCCCACAGAGTGTGATGAAGCAATCTTAATAGACCAGGGCAGGGGAAATGGTATTTGTACTCTGTTCTCGAGTATGAAAGAGATTATTTCTCCATTTGTACACTACACATCCACAAGGGACTTGCTCTGAGCTTTGCTTCTACTCTCTACTGCGGAAGAGAGAGCACTATCCTTGGTATCGGAAGGTTTGGGGTAAAATCCCTGTGTGTCTACTCAACTCCTTTTTTAGGGTGACCAAAACAAGGACCATTAATACAGTATGCTCCATATTTACATTAATATAGTGCTTTTCACATCAGAAGAGCTGTGCCGATTAGCATTACCTTTCTACTGCACTCACTCTCCTACAGCAGTTCATATGGATGCCTGTTTATGTGACGTTGTTCCTTGTGACTCTACAAGTGAATAACTGCTCAGTGTATTTTTGGTACCAGCTTTGCTCCTGCAGTGAACTCCAGCAACTCTTAATAAGTTAGAACAGCTCAGATCATAGGTCAGTGTTTACAGTAGCCTTAGTCAATGAGAACTGTGTTGCTATAGTGGTTTCGTTGGAAATACCAGCTAAATCTGCAGAAATTGATGAGATTTCTTCCCACTGAGCCCTGCATGAATTCTCTAAATAAGGTAAAGCTTGTTAGAGTAATTTACCACACATGATTCACTGAGGCATATCACGATCTTTTTGCTTCGAACCAGCTTTTTTTTAAAATGTGTGTTTGAATATGGTAAAAGATCAAATTAACTCTGTGACTCATGCAGAGAGCAGTCCTATATATATCCTGCCACCAGTGATACAGTCATTATGTTAGAGACAAACATTGTTCTACTTCTCAGCAACAGGAATTCATTACAATGCTACACTGATGGGATCAATCCAAATTGCATCTACATGTGTCTAAACTCTTTAGTCGTTTTTGCTATGGGTTATTTGAGTTTCTGCCAAGTAGAGCAAGCTGCTTAATGTCAGAAATTCAATGCAACTGAGTTGTTTTTTATTTATGCTTGATTTATTGGAAGGAATGATGTGGCCCATTGTATTTGACTTTGCCTTTGCCTATGGAAAAGGCTTCCTTTTTGCTCTTCATAGCTCCTTCTCCCCAGTATCACTGTGGCCTTTAGTGGAAATATGCAACACAATAGGAAGCCAGTTGGTATTGTGTGCCCCAGAAGAAGGATGCATTATACATTGGGACCCTGTTACAAGTCAGTAACAGTGTCCTGGGTGTGCGGTACCCTTCCATTTTTCTGCACAAAGTTCAGAGGCCGCCTATGGATCCAGCAAAGGATGGAAAGACTTGCGAGAGTGGTCGCTGGCTCCTTGCGTGCATGGTTCTTTGACTTCATTGGAGATGTCATTGGCAATCTGCTCACCCTAACTCAACCCCTTATAACACGGGGGGTCAGATATTCAAGGAACCAAACTCTCCGTAGTAAACAAAAACTTTCAAAAGGGAATTGGATAGATACTTGAATAGAAAAAATGTTGCAAGGCTATGAGGAAGGAATGGGGAAGTGGGACTAATTGGGTAGCTCTTGCAAAGAGCCAACACAGGCATGATGGGCGAATGGCCTCCTTTTCTATGAAAAATAATCCCAACTATAAATGACTCGAATAAAACCTGGACAATGTTTGCTCTTGGCTGGCCAGAGCAGTTGATTAATGTATCTTTTTTCCTTCAGTTGTTTGCTACCAGGCAGATCGCGATGAGCTCCGTCACCACATTATGGAGTGGCTGGAGACTGAAATCATCCCCGATGGCTGGTTTTCTAAGGGCATCAACTACACAGACATCCTAAACAAGTACTTCAAGGTAGGTCCTAACCCTCACCGTACAACATTCACAACAGATTAAACGGTCATCACTGAGCGGAGAGGTTTTTTTTAAATAATGGGCGTGAGAAAAGGTTTGCTGATGTCTGGACGCACGAGATCACATTGACCATCAAGTCTGAATATTTTCCACGTATTTCTCATCTGATTTTCTGCTCTAGATTGCATTATTTCAAGACAGAGTCAAGAAGCCCTTAGAAAAACTCGAGAGAAATAAAAGGCTTAATGGATTAATATGTTGTGCACCTTTAAGTTCTTCAGTTAGGGTTCCAGTTATTTGCAATGAGTGACACTGCTATCAGTCAACAGACATTATATATATAAGAGATTGAAACTTCATTGTGTTATTAATTGAAGAATAAAAGACCTATCATTGTCACAGAATTCTGTTGTTATCCTAAGGACAACATTCCACGAAGTAAACTCGTAAAACGGATCCACGTAATGTTCTGGGAAATTGTAAACACTGACTGTTCCCACATATATTGTTTTACAGTTCTGGCACAGAAACAGCATGTGAGAAAAAAAAACTTTCAAGCCAGAAATAAGTGGCCAAAAGGTTTGCTTTGTAGTGTTTCTGAGGCACTTACACTGTTTCTGTTTCTTTTTGAAATAGTTTTTTGTTGGTTCCTCATGGTTTTGTTCCTCAGTGTCACGTAGAGGCTTAGGGTGAAGTTAAGCACACAGTTTGATCTCATGAGCCACTAGGTTCCTTTCCTTTCCGTTACTCTGAACGCTTTTTCCAAGCAGCTGAGGTTTGGGTTTCTTTGTGTATGTGGCAGAGCTATGATGATGGTGATTCACGTCTGGATTCTAATGAGTTCCTGAAATTTGTGGAGCACAACGAGACTGCCATCAACAACACAGCGTACATCGAACAGGACAACAACAAGCTTCTCAGGTGAGAGGGCTGAGCAAAGTTGGGGAGAGGTGGAGAGAAATTGCATCTGTTCCTGAATCCCTTTGACTAAAAAGGGAAGCCCACGGCCCTCCTTTCTCAAAACAGTAGTAGCAAGTGATACAAAAGAAAACCGGGATTAAAGCTGTTGCCCTTTTAATGATTGATCTTCTCTTGAGGGCTCAGAATAGACAGAAAGAAAACTGCACACGGACTTTGCAGAGATTTCATTTTCAATTTTTTACATTTTGGCAGTGAAGTAGTGTTATAACGTTTGAATCTAGCTATGAGTTATATTGGCTATTAATTGTACGCTGTTGTGATGCTTAAAAGAGATATTTGGGGGAGTTTTTAGATTGGTTCCATGTTGGCTGAGATTAACCGTGTGTTGTTAACACGTTGGCTGAGATTGACAACAACAAATTGTATTGATATAGCACCCTTCAGGCATGGTGGAATCTTGGAATGCTTAATATTAACAGTGTGTGCCCCCATGTTTGGCTAACTCGGGCTTGCTGCATATCTTCCACCCCATCAGTGGACGAATTTAAAGATTCTTCATCCATAAACTGCTGACCTTCCTCTCTCTAACCTTCTGTCTTGTCACTTCTCTATCTGCCTTCAAATCCCATCTCAAAAACTATATCTTCAACCATGTCTAGAGTCACCTCCCCCTTTTCCCCTCTCCCATGCACAAAATCCCACCCCCATCACTGTGAAGTGCTCTGAGATATTACCTTTCCTGAAGTGCACTGTGTGGGTGCAAGTTGTTGGCCTCAGTCCATGGGAAAATGAAGAGTACATGTTGTGCTGTTTTCCAGGGGCCTATGTGTAGATGCACTGATCGAGCTGTCTGATGAGAATGCTGACTGGAAACTCAGCTTTAATGAGTTCCTGAACTGCCTGAACCCTGGCTTTGTCCCACCTGAGAAGAGTAAGTACAGAGTGTAAAATCATTCTACAAATGTGAATGGAATACTTCATGTTTTCATCCTATTTGCCTCACTTATTCCATATCTTAAAGTTCTTACTCATATTGGGATATGGTTCCACGTTGCCAATGGATATCTTCATGTGTGAAGGTAATCATTCTTCATGTGTGAAGCATGAAGGATAAGAGTCACTGAAACATGGGAGACATCACAAGTGAGAGACTCCACCTCTGTAGCATATGCATCCTTATACATGAGCAGGTGTTCTGACAATCCTGTCCAGTTTCCTGCCAGTCTGCTTGCGTGAGTTGGATTCTCTAGACTCTGATGTTATCTGGTTTTTCTTTGCTGTGTCGCAGAGTGTGCCCTGGAAGATGAAACCTATGAGGACGGAGCTGAGACCACAGTGGAGTGTAACCGTTGCATCTGTGCCTGCGGTAATTGGGTGTGCACAGCCATGACTTGTGACGGTGAGATGAAAGGTTACTATGAAACAAAATATTCCTGCTGTTGTCTCATTTAATGGGCAGTTTGCAAGGATCATAGAATCATAGAATTGTACAGCACAAAAAGAGGCCATGCGGCCCATCGAGTCTGTGCCGGCTCTTTGAATAGAGCAATTAATGTCAGGATGGGGACATTGTATTCCAAAGCCTTCCTACCAGGCACTTCACAATTCACCATGCAGATTTACAAAGATTCATAACTGCTGAGGAGCTGATCTCCATTGAATGATAGTGAAACTAACTTAATTTACATCAAAGTGGTTTAACCAAGTAAACCAATTGCTGACCACTAGTTGCAGCAGTTAGTCTATTCCAAGCAATTGGTGATTTGTACGTTGTAATTTCTAAATATATTTGTTCGTGTAAACGTGAACATGTATGAGCCCAATTGCTGATGATCTTTGTTCTTTCACATACCATCCATATGTACTGTTCTCTCTGCTTCTCTTTGGATTCACATCTTGACTGTTTCCTTTCTTTGCTTTCCTCTCTGAAGGTAAGAACACTTCAGAGGAGCACAGCCCGGCGACTATGGATGAGGAGATGAGTGAGGAGGAATGGACTAAGTATGTTGAGGAGCTCAACAAGCACCAGGTTCGTACTGTACAGGTTTAACAACAACAATTTACATCCAAGCATTGTGCTGCAACAGGAACCAACAACAACAAGAACTTGCATTTATATAGCGGCTTTCACTCGGGATGACAACTCCGAGCGCTTAATAGTGGTGAGATTTGACGCTGAGCCAGGAAGAAAGGGGAGGTGACCTTAGGCACAGTCAATGAGAAAAATCTTCAGGTGCGAGCTAAAGAGAGGCAAGGCGGAGGATCGAGGCAGATTCCAGAGGGTTCGCGGCGTACAAAGCATCAAGTACTGATTTATCCCCAGATGGCAACGTAATGGGAGATTGTTTGTCACCAGCACATTCAGATATGATGAATATATGAATATGAATATATCAGAATGATCTCATTCTGACAGTAGATTTACAAATAATGTAGTTATTAAGTTTCAGGCTTTCTACAAAAAGTAGGCGGGAACGAATCAGAAATGAGGATGAATCTGGAGTAAAATTATACGAGTAAAATTACACTCCAGATTTTTTACAATCAAGAATGTTACAACAGTGGCTTTTAAATTTGGATACATTAAGACCAAGCTTGGTAGTACAGTGTGTTAGAACTCTATATAAGCTGTGCATGATAGCAACGATAGAAACAAATAATATAGTGGCAAGCCTGACAAACTCTTTGAATGTATTGGGGAAGGGGTGTGGGGTGGATGTGGGAGACGATACTATGTTGAAAATGACAAGTCCCAAAGCAACATATTGATCTGTTGCTGAGAGACGTACAGTTTGAAATATCCTATCTCTTTGTTTCACTGGCTGAGTGCGAGAGGGCGACAAAGTATTCTTAACCTGCACACACGTTTGCAGCCATGCCTCTGAAATTTTGGACTGAGTAGTAGTCAGTATTCTTATACAAATCCAGTGCAGCCCATCCAATCCACAGATAATAATAATCCTTGCATTTGATATGGCGCCTTATCACATCATTGAGATGTCTCAAAGAGTTTCACAGAATATACTGTGAAATGAATTGACTGTGTATTTTGTGGGCGAAACACGGCAGCCAATTGCGCACAGCAGTGTCCCACAAGTGCTACCGACAAGGCTTAAGAGTGAATACGGTAAATCTGTTTCCAATCTGACGAAAACTGCCCAAATACATTCTGATGAACCTTCTCTGCTTTATTTCCAGGAGACGGCTGAGAAGGCTAAGAAAGTGCACGTAAAGGACATCTAAAGGGGCAGGGTTCAGAAGAGAAGCAAAATGAAGTGTTCTAAACCTGTTTCTCTCGTCCCGCCTATCAGCAAAATTTTTGCAATCACTACTAAATATATTTACTTTATAAACAGTATTTTTTGGGAGGGATGGAGGGGTTCCTTGGTTTTATTCAAGCAGAATTTGTGTACTGTAACTGAAGAGGGTTTAGCAGATGAGCGACCCCCGTAGATAATAAATTGTACGTTGTGATAGCTGAACAGACAGACCTGTGTGAAGGAAGATGATGAGAGACATTTCATACCTGTTCTTAACTTTCCCAAATTCCTCTGCATTACCCACAGAAACGGAGGCCGGAGCTTCTTCGTGCAGAATTCTTTACGTACTGAACTGACTTAGCAAGTCCTGACCGACATCCTGGCTCTACCTCTGCAATAGAATGAAGGAGTAAAACTATTCAAAAGCTTCAAGAGTAAATGGAATGCTTATATTGGAGCAGGAAGATCTGAATAAGGTAGTGACCGAAAGGTCACTAAAGTAAAATTAGTTTAGTGACCCAGACAGCAGTTAATTTAGTTTAGTGACACAGACCACAGTTAGTTTAGTTTAGTGATACAGACTGCAATTTAGTTTAGTGACATGAACCACAGACCCAATTGAATAACTAAAGCTTCTAACAGTTGTAGATTTACAATGTCAACACACTTGAAGTAATGGGACTGAGGTGGAGCACAAACTAACTCAACTTTCCTGGCTGAATTAACATCAGAAAATAATGTGAAGGATAATTCTAGTATTTAATAATATCTATAATGTGATTCAAAAGCGATTGGAACTATTGTGTTTGCGATGTGTTTGTGCATCAGAGTTTGACTCCTAGCTTTGATGCTGGTCCTTCTGTAGGTCATGCAGAGGATTCTGTATGAAAATGCCTTTATCCATCTTCTCCATGGTTTGCCAGTACTCTATTAACTTTTCACAAAGGTGCTATATTCCTTAATTACGTTTTTTTTAAAGTAAGATTTGACACTTCATTCCCTTTGTAGTTTCTCTAGTGTGTGGAATTTTTTATTTAAAGTTCACTATTGATAGGAAAATCTGCAGCGCTGATCAATGCAATGGATGCATGAGTGTGTAGGGGACAGATTGGAAATCCTCAAAAGAATTTGGTGGAGATGATCCATAATTACAAGGCGTAACAGCATGAAATTTTCATTGTGCCATAACCACAAAGGGAATCGATCGCCTTTCACCAGAACTCTGTGGAACAGTTGAGATCCATTTTTAATCAAGAATTGCCACTCACAGTGGTAAATCAGCAGAGAGAAAGCTATGTGTGTGAGGAAGTATTCAGTAACGAACCTCAGCAGTACTGTGATGTACTATGAAGTGTGTGTTATTGAAATAGTTACAAACATTGCTAGTATTAATAGCAGAATTTGGTTATGTCTTGGTACAGTGTGCTGCTATATTGATGGTATACAGTAACATCCCCAGCTATAGTACAGATCTGCATTATCCAAAGAGTATTACGTCATAGCTATGTTGAAAGCTTAATATCAAATGAATTCCTGTAGTCCAGTTAAAATGATTATTTACTATGGACATGTCCATTGCATTTTGTGACCAGACCTAACGTTGGCTGATCGTAATGGGAGAAACACAGGAATTTGGTCAACTTTCAAGATGCCTCTCTCCCCCTCCTCCACTTTGGTACTGCCCCGAGCAGTGGGAAAAATGCACGAGATTACAGAGCTGTTGTTTCACACATGGGTTCAAATGCCGAGGCAGATGAAAACGAGAGGTTATGCTGTAGTGCCAATGAGTCTTGTAGAGTTTAGCTCAGTTTGTACTCCAAACCACAAATGGGTTAAACCTGTTGCGAAGTGAGAAATTCTTTTCAATTCTATGAATTCTCCCATACTTTTGAGCTGATTCACCTGAGAATATGGTAATGAATCTGATTGAGTATTAGCAAGGGAAAGCCTCTCTTGCCTACAATAAAGAAGACCCATAACTTTGCCGGAGATATAGATATTTAATCAGTTTTTATATCCCAATATCAGTGTGAGAGGGTCACAAAGTATTACTAACTTGCACACGTGTTCGCACCATTCCTTTTCTAAAATGGATGTTATCACTCCAAACCTGTATTTCTGCTACTCTTTTGAACTATGTTTTATTAAATGCATAGGAGGAATCATGTACACCCCTGTGAGAGCAGTACTATCACAGGAGGGTTGGCTCATGTATTGTAGTGTTTTTGTACTTACTGGTATTTTTGGGTATAATGTCAATAAATTTTCTTTAAAAAAAANCTTCATAAATTCATAGTTTCCTGTTATTTAAAAATACCTGGGCATACTGTTTGCTTTAAGTTGTTTACTACAGGGCATTGAAGTTGTTTCACTTCACTAGATGAGTGGATCTATGTATAAGATGTATGTCCAAACCTGTAACTTACTCCTCTAAGCTCTGTACCACGTGCTGAAGAGAGTAAAGTCTGTGTTTTGTGCCCTGGACGAGTTTGTCTCTTCATTTTTGACATGTTGACACCTTCAGAAGATGTCCATGGTATTTAGCCTATGTGTCAGCCTGGCTCTGTTGGAAGGACTCTTGCTTCTGAGTCAAATTTGTGGATTTGAACCCCACATAGGGATTTGGAACTCATGTAGTCTAAGCTGACACTCCAGTGAAGTGCAGAGGGTGTGCTATATTGTTGGAGGTGTCAACCTTTGGATGAAAAGTTAAAACTGAGGCCCTGCCTACCTATACAGATGGGCATTAAAGATTCAATGGCACTACTCGAAAAGTGAAGGGAGTTGCTCTAGGTATCCTGGTCAACAATGCCCCAAATAAAAATACATTGGTCATTCACTTCATGGCTATATGTGAATTGTTGCTGGCTGCTACAGTATATCCTGTAAGATGACCTCCCGATGTAAAAGGCACAATACCAAATGTAAGTATTATCATCATTTAATGCAGGCCTTCTTACTCTTAATTACTGAAAACCACATATCTTGAGAAACTGGAGCAAGCAGACTTTTCATTGCCAGGTTTATCTTTCAGGACCAGGGGCACTCAAAAATAGTATCTAGCCCAAAGCTAAAGTGTTGGTCACACCATTCAGAAGTAGATAACTGAGACTAATATCTTCTATTATTATAGAGAAGCTTACACCAAGTAACCCATAGCAACAAAGTTCTGAGTCGGTTATGAGTGGATATATTTCTAATATCCCATTATCTGTTTTTCAATAGTTACAAAGTATTAATGCTGTACAAAGTGCTATTGACATTTCTCTTTAGAAAACGAGTAGTATTCTCCCTGCTATTGAATGTTGTAAATTGAGGATATGTCATGGCTGCGCAATCCATGTTCTATTTATAGCATTTGTAATTGAATTTCAACTGGATCCAAAAGCATGGATAGACAGAACAAGTTAGATTGTACAGATCTATTGGCAGATCATAATGGTAAGCGAGGCTTTGAGAGACGTTAATGCCAACAATTGTGTCAAGGTCTCTTCTTATTTTGTCTCTCTAATCTTAGCTTTGTGGATCCATTGGAAGCACATTGTAAATTTTGATAAGATGCGAGCTGACTTATCATTACCCAACTCCTGCCAATATTTAACTAACCTTGTGGTCAAATTACCTGTGAAGGCTCACTATGTTCAAATGAAAAATACCTTCTTGGGCTATGTCCAGGAGTGTTACCAACACTATGCCAGCGTGAGTCCGTATTGTTTTTACAGGATGAGAATTGTTTTGGAGCAGCAAGAGTGACAACATGGGTTTGATATATCTGGCATCTAAGAATCTAGTCATATCTTACGAGTGAATACGTAAGAGTTGGGAGTCTTGGTAAAGTAGCCTTGCATTATACACTCTTGCTTCTCATTCCTAGAAATACCATTCAATGTTCAGTCAAAAGTAAAGCAAGATGACTGTACAGTGGCCTAATGTGATATACAATGACCTTGTGTGATATACAGTGAAATAAGCTGTAGTGTATCAAAAGGTTCCCAGACACCAAATAGTATGTAAACAAAAACAGAAGTCGCTGGGATCACTCAGCAGGTCAGGCAGCATCTATGGAGAAAAGAAAGTGAGTCAACGTTTCAGGTCCACGACCCTTCGTCAGAACTCAATCGTTCTTATTCAAATAGAATGTATCTTGTTCAGTCACACACTGATGCTGAACCTGTATTGTGAGGACACTTTGAGCTGAGTGACCATGTCTGTTATAATATATGTATAAAATTGTATTTTCTCTCCATACTAAATAGAAGTTGTAGTATTAGTGGACAAGTATGAGGGATTTGACAGCATTCAAAGCAATGTGGCCAGTTGCTGTAAGTGGGCTGACTAAGCAAAAGCAGATGAATTTTAATGTAGATAAATGTAAGGTTATACACATTGGATATGAAAAATGTACACTGAAGTCCATTAGTAATGTATAAATAGAAATGTTAGTAGTAATCATAGAATTTGTAGCTCTTCACTGCAATTATTCTGTCAGCGGGAAGCAGTTAATCAATGACTGGAAGGCATCTGAAGGGCATGTTGATTCTAATTCACAATAATTATAAACTGATAGAGATTGGGAAGTAAATACAAAAAATGTACATGAAAGTCCATTAGTAATGTAGAAAAAGTAATGTTATTAGTAATCATGGAATTTGCAAAGATTATTAATATTATTTGTTGCTGTTTTTATTATGGAGAGAAAATACAATTTTGTACCTACAGTATTACAACAGACACATTCACTCAGCTTGACTCAGAACAACAACTTACATCCATGTTTTTAAAACACAGAGCAAACTGGACAAAGTCCATGTGGACAGATTATTTATCTTGGATTGTGTGTGCAAAACTGAGAGACATGAGAACAAAATGAGCCTAAAGGATGAGTGTAGGAATTGTTTTGACCGCTACTGAGTGGGGAATAATGCATCAATTTCAAAAAAAGTTTGAAACCTTTGAAAAGAGCTGGATGAATATCTAGTTAGGAACAAGATTGAGGGTTATGAGAATAAGTACAAATAGAGATAATCAAATCTTCTGTCGAACATGATGGATCCTGAGTGACTGGGACCATGGGAATGTTGAGCCAAGGGAAACAACTGATATGGGATGCATAATTTAAAATGCCAAATTAAGTTGGAGTTCTGGAGAAATCATTAGACCTATCTTTTGGGGGCCACAAGGAAAAACTTTGCAGTTCTTTCTTCCAGATTAAATGGTTTTCACTCGATTTTACGATTGAGTAAATTGAAGGCTGAATGACCTTTTCACATTCCATGCTTACTTTGTGTTTTCATGCCCTTTACATCAAGTATGAGAATAAATCTCAATATCAATCTAAGACCCCTGAGCAATCACCGTCCAAAAGTTAACAGAATTCTCTAAACTTCTAATTTAATGCGTGCTATTTATTTTAATAAGCAGCGAGAACAGGCAATACTTATTTTCCTGCATATTGCCTGACTGAGAAAAGTGTGGAGTCAAGTTGTAGACCAACATAATGTATAATAATAATTAAAATAAAATATGATTAATACATTGACTTGGCTACTTTGTGTAAATGAAAATATAACAGTAAAACAAAAAACATGATAAGCGAAGAATTGTCTGGTTGCTCATTAATGTGGGAGCACAATGCAAGAAAACATCTACAAATACTACTGTGATCAACTTACTGGGATTTCCACATCAACTCAGTTAGGAGAAAAAGATAGACACATATCCAAATCTCTGACTGCCCAACGCCTTGGGACGTCCTACCGACGTGAAAAGGGCTACACATGTAATTTTCACCAAAGAATTGGATACGAGTATGAGCTTGTTGGCAATTAATGTGGGAAAGAAATTCTGCTGTGATCAGTTTTCTATTTTTTATATTTTTTTTTTAAATCACTCAATCCATGACTGTTTGTGGGACACTCCTGTGCACAATCGGCTGCCACATTTCACCCACAAAGAACACAATCCACTTTATCCTGTGAAATGCTTTGAGACGTCTTAAAGATGTTCTATGGCACTATATCAAATGCAAGGATTATTATTACAAGGATTTCCACCACAGGTAAACTTATTTTTTGAAATACATTTATAAGTATATTTGGTACAACAGAAATCCAAAACAAACACAACATCTTCTGTTACATTTTTTTCCTTTTCTCTCGATACAAAAACATCATTGATTACGGTACATTCCTTCCTCACACATAGGTTGTTCACACATTTTTTGGGATGCTCCCTTTCAAACAGTCGGGAGTCGCCTCTGTGTACACCACATCCATGTGCACGCCCGATAAGGCGCACTTGCCGCTTTCGGAAGATGCCCCGATAAGCATCGTAACCGCACATACATTTTCGGGACGCTCTGGTTACATCTCGAGTGTCCTTTTATACCCTTACGTTTATTTCAGTCAATTTTGGGTGCACTCATGGGATAGCCGATGGGTCCGCCCTGAGCGGGTTGTGCCGGGGGTCAGGCCCCATCTGGCCTTTGCTGTGGTTGAGCCGAGCTTCAGCTTGTCCCTCAGTGTATAGTCCCTGATCCTAGTGTGCGTGATCCCGACACAGTCCCTCACCATCCCCTCGTTCTGCCAGACGAACACCTGGTATCAGGAGTGCCAAAGGGCCTCCTTTTCCCGAGTTTATGATCCTCCAGGCGCACACTCGAGGTGGGTCTTGGGAGGGGCCGGGGGCGGGGGGGGGGGGGGGAAAGAGGCTGACGTGACGGGAAGAGGGGGCTGCGGGATGGAATTCCAGAGGGCGGGAGCAGAGTGGCGGGAAGCGGAACATGGAAGGCGGGGGACGTGAAGCAGTTGCAGAACCACCTCCCACCCACCCACTACCCCACCACCACCCCCGAACCCCTCCCCCACCACCACCCCCCCCCTCACCCCCCCCACCCCACTATCCCCGAACCCCTCCCTCCCACCCACTACCCCCCACCCCACTACCCCACCACCCCGAACCCCTCCCCACCACCCCCCTCCCCCCCACCCCACTATCCCCGACCCTCCCCCCACCCACTACCCCACCCACTACCCCACCACCCCCGAACCCCTCCCCACCCACTACTCCCCTCCCCCCCCACCACCCCCCTCCCCCCCATCCCACTACCCCACCACCTCCCCGAACCCCTCCCCACCCACTACCCCACTACCCCCCCTCCCCCCCCACCCCACTACCCCACCACCTCCCCGAACCCCTCCCCACCCACTACCCCCCCACCCCCACTCCCCCCCCACGCCCCAGTGTAGCCGCAGCCTGATCTCTCCCTCTCTCTCTCTCTCTCCTCTCTCACTGGCTGAGGCCGGTCCAACGTCACTTGCAGAGCCGGACGCTCTTGCGTCAGCCAGGCGCCGACGTCAGCGCGCAACGTCAGGGACCTTTGCGCGGAGCCCCCCCGCCCCCCCGCCCCCGCGTGACCGCCGCCTTCTGCTGATTGGCCCAGCGCGAGACAGACAGAGGGAGGGCGGGCCGGCCCGGCCCGGCCCGGCAACGTGGATAACGGCAATCGCAGGCGTGGGACCAGGCGGGATGCGCGGCTGGGGTGGGATTCAGGTTCCGGGGCGGCACCCAGTTGGCGGTTGGGGGGGGGGAGGGGGGAGGGTTGTGGATGGGAAGGAAGGGTCCCCGGCGCCGCGGCGGCCAACAGTGAGCAACTGGGCACCGAGGCGGGAGGGAGAGAGGGAGAGACAGAGAGAGGGGGAGAGACAGAGAGACAGAGAGAGGGAGGGAGCAGCTGAGAAATCGACAAGAAAGAGTATTGTTTCTCAGGGGCTGAGCGGCTACTGCTTCTCCAGAGCTCCGTTTCCATCTCACACACACACACACACACACACACTCTCTCTCTCTGTATATATATATATATATACACACACACACACACATAGAGAGAGAGAGAGAGAGACCTCCCCCCCCCCCCACACCCCCCAACCCCCACCACCCCCACCATGTTCGCTTTCCCGGGGTCGGCCATGGACGTGCTGGAGAACATGGAAGGGGGCAACGTGCTGAACCTGTCGAGGATGGACCTGGACAGCACGGCGGCCCTGGAGGAGATGGGCGAGGAGATGGCGGCGGAGGAGACCCGGCAGCTGCTGCTGTCTCACAACCGGCTGTCCGTCCTGCCGGTCGGCGTGGCTCACTTCAGCAATCTGCTCTTCCTGGACGTCAGCTCCAACCGGTTGGCCTTCCTCTGCGACCAGATCCTGGCGCTGACCAAACTGAGGACCCTGATCGCCAAGAACAACCGGCTGGACGAGTCGTCGGTGCCCAAGGACCTGGGCAAGATGTGCCTGGAGGTGGTCAACTTCAGCGGCAACCGCTTCGAGGAGGTCCCGCCTCAGCTGCTGGAGCTGCGGAGGCTGAGGTCGCTCTCGCTCGGGGGGAACCGACTGAAAGCGATCCCTCCGGAAATCGAGAACTTATTCAGGTGCAGTGCCCGAAAACTTGCCTGACTTTTTTGTCTTCTTCTTCTTCTTCTTCTTCTTCTTCTCCTTCCTCCCCCCCCACTTCTTCTCTCCCCCCTCTCTTCTCTCCCTCTCTCTTCTCTCTCTCCCCCCTCTTCTCTCCCCCCTCTTCTCTCCCCCCTCTCTTCTCTCCCCCCCTCTTCTCTCCCCCCCCTCTTCTCTCCCCCCCCTCTTCTCTCCCCCCCTCTCTCTCTCCCCCTCTTCTTCTCTCCCCCCCCTTCTCTCCTCCCTCTCTCTTCTCTCCCCCCCTCTCTTCTCTCCCCCCTCTCTCTTCTCTCCCCCCTCTTCTCTCCCCCCTCTTCTCTCCCCCCCCTTCTTCTCTCCCCCCCCCTCTTCTCTCCCCCCCTCTTCTCTCCCCCTCTTCTCTCCCCCCCCTCTTCTCTCCCCCCTCCTTCTCTCCCCCCCCTCTCTCCCCCTCTCTTCTCTCCCCCCTCTTCTCTCCCCCCCTCTTCTCTCCCTCTCTTCTCTCCCCCTCTCTCTCTCTCTTCTCTTCTCTCCCTCCCCTCTTCTCTCCCTCTCTCTTCTCTCCCCCCCCTCTCTCTCTCTTCTCTTCTCTCCCCCTCCCCTCCTCCTCTCTCCCTTTCGTGTTAGCAATTTGAAAAGGACGATTTAGAGACGTCTGCAAACCATCAGCACTTCTTCCAACACATCGACTGAGTTAATTCGGGTTATTAGGGCTTTCAATCCCTTTTATTGCTCCGTAGTTAACCTTCCTGTGAAGCCCACCTTTCCTCCACTGACCTCAGGACCATTTGCAAATGTGAGCTCTCTCTCTCGTCCTATTAGGTTTGAATACGATGAGCTAAGAGGTTTTGTGCTGGGTTGACCTACGTGATTCCAGTAACGTTTCAGAAAATGTAAATGCACTTGGAAGTAAATAGCAGATGGTGTACTCGTGGTAATCAAACTTGCCTATTAATTAATTTCCTCTGTGTTGTAAGATTTACCAGCCAGTTATTCTCATAGTAGTGATGAAGCGTGCAAAGGTAACAAATAGCTCCTGCAGCTATCACAGGACTGTGAAGCCACAGAGTTACTATTTATTTAACTCCTTTAAAATGGCTATTCTGGTTGATAACTGCTTCATATTAACCAACTTCCAATTACTGGTATGAACTCTCCCAATCTTTTATGGCATAAGAGCCAATACACCTCTGGAGTAGGGATTAGGAGCCAATGTGGTAGAAATTGACAACGTGATTGTAGCAGTAATAATAATAATCCTTGCATTTGATATAGCGCTTTTCACATCTTCTAGATGTCTGAAAGTGCTTCACAGAATATACTGTAAAGTGAATTGACTGTATTTCAGTGGGCAAAGGTCGGCACAGCAGTGTCCCACAAGCAGTGGTGGATTGAATGACCAGTTTATTGTTTGTTTTTCTTGATTATTATCAGGATTGTGGAGTAAGGAAACATGCCCAATGTTTCACCCTTGAGGCGAGTGCTCTTAACCACTGAGCTACAGGACAGTACAGTAAAATGAATGTTTGTTACATTGATGTCACAGACTCATAAGAACATAGAATATAAGAATTAGGAGCAGGAGTGGGCCATTCAGCCCCTCCAGCCTGCCCCGCCGTTCAATAAAATCATGGCTGATCTATTCTAACTCCACCTACCACCTTATCCCCATATCTCTTAATCTCTTTATGCACAAGAAATCTATTAATCTCAGTCTTGAATATGTTCACGGACTGAGCATCTACAGCCCTTTGGGGTAGAGAATTCCATAAATTCGCTACCCTCTGAGTGAAGGAAATTTTTCCTCAACTCAGTGCAAAAGGGCTTACCCCGAATTTTAAGACTATGACCCCTGGTTATAGTTTCTCCAACCAGGGGAAAAATTCTCCCACTATCTATTCTGTCGTGCCCCTTAATAATCTTATAGGTTTCTATAAGATCACCTCTCATTCTTCTATATTCTAGAGAATATAGGCCTAAATTGCTCAACCTATCCTCATAACTCATCCCCTCATCCCAGGTACCAACCTAGTGAATCTACGTTGTACCCCCTCCAAGGCGAGTACATCCTTTCTTAAATAAGGAGACCAAAACTGCACACAATACTCTAGGTACTCACCAGGGCCCTATACAGTTGCAGCAAGACTTCCCTACTCTTATATTCTAACTCTTTTGTAACAAATGCCAACATACCGTTAGCCTTCCTAATTGCTTGCTGTACCTGCAAACTAACTTTTTGTGACTGGTGTACAAGGACACCCAAGTCCCTCTGAATGCTAACACTATTAGTCTCTTCCCTTCTAAAACATAATCTGCTCTACTGTTTTTGCCACCTAGGTGGATGACTTCACACTTCCCTACATTATACTTCATCTGCCACCTATTTGCCCACTCCCCTAGCCTATCTATATCTCGTTGCATTTTTTTAATGTCATCCTCGGTGTTTACTCTCCCTCCTAGTTTAGTGTCATCTACGAATTTGGATACATTAAGTTCGATGTCCTCATCGAGATCGTTGATGTATATTGTAAATGGTTGAGGCCCAAGCACTGATCCTCGTGGCACTCCACTAGTCACATCCCGCCAATCTGAGAAGGACCTGTTTATCCCTACTCTTTGATTTCTTTCCGTTAGTCATTCTTCAATCCATGCTAATATATTCCCCTTAATTCCATGAACCCTAATCTTGTGGATCAACCTTTTATGCGACACCTTAAATTTGTTAAGCATGACTTCCCTTTTGTAAAGCCATGTTGACTCTGTTTATCATATTGTGATTCTCTAAGTATCCCACTACAACATCCTTAATTAAGGATTTCAGAATTTTCCCTTCCACCGATGTCAGACTAACTGGTCTGTAGTTCCCCATCTTTTCTCCCACCCTTCTTAAATAGTGATGTGACATTTGCGAACTTCTAATCAACGGGAACTGTTCCAGAATCCAAAGAATTTTGGAAGATCAGACACAAGGCCTCCTCTATCTCATGAGCTACCTCTTTTAAAACCTTAGGATGCAAACCATCAGGTCCAGGGGACTTGTCACTTTTTAATGCCAACAATTTCCCTAGCAGCAATCCTGAAATCACTACCTTTGATGTTCTTTGTTTTAGTTTAGTTCCCAGCTCCTTGAACTCCCTCCTGAAATCATCACAACTAACCCTCCTATGTCATTGGTACCTATGTGAAGTACCACCAATGGATCCTCGCCCTCATGTTTTAGATTCTCCTCCAGCCCCGCCGAGACGTCCTTCACCCCAGCCCCAGGAAGGCAACAGAGCCTTCGGGTCTCCTGGTTGCGGCTGCAGATAAGTGTATCTGTCCGCCTGATAGTCTCCTCCCCAATTACTACAACTTTCTGTTTGTTTTCCCCTAATATTGGAATCACGTTTTCCTTCCTCCTCACAGGCTTCCTTGTCCGCACAGGTTGCAAGGATCTCGTACCTGTTGGCCAAGTTAAAGCCTGAGGCTTCACTACCACTCTCTCCTGTGTTCCCTTAACCCCTACCCTGTCCTCGACTGAAACTATTATCTATGCATTCCCTCAGCCTCAGGGGAATGACTGGGTCCAGGATGAAACTGTCCAGGAAGTGCTCACTGTCCCTGAATGCTGCGCAATGTCTGCAGTTTGGATTCCAGCTCAGACACTCTGAGCTGAGCTGCCTCAGTTGCAGACATTTGCTGCAGATGTGGTCGCCCGGGCTCAGATTGCCCTCCATCAACTCCCGCGTGTTACAGTCCTCACACAACACCCGCCACGCCACTGTCACCTCTCCCACCCCCACTGTGAATTAAAGTTTTATTTAATTAATTAATTTTTTTAAAAAAAAGTTACGTTCTTAATTCATCTTTATTTTTTAATGTATTTTATTTTTAGTGTTGTTAATTAGTAGTTAGTGTTAGTTTACTGTTAGTTAGTAGTTAGTGTTAGTCTACTCTTTCAGAATATTTTGATTGTGACGTTGCTCTGACGTCACTTTTTAATTTTCCCGCTGGTCGCTTAGTTTTTTTTCTCTCTCTCTCCCGCCTCTGCTCCTGACTGACTGCTCTCCTGACTGACTGCTCTCCTCGCTGTGGCTTTTATCCCCACTGTTAGGTCTCGGCTCCTCCCTCTCCTGCCGCTGCTCCTGACTGGCTGACTGCTCTCCTCGCTGTGGCTTTTATCCCCACTGCTAGGTCACGACTCTGCCTTTCGCTCTCCTGCCTCTGCTCCTGACTCGCATATTGCTACAAGCACAAGTGCGGAAGACTGTTATTGACTGTGGATATGCCAGTTGTGTAAGTTCTGCATAGTGGGGATTCAAGCACTGAGGTCAACCTTCATGGCTCTATCCTTGAATGGTTCAGATCCTACCTCTCACACCGTTATCCACTTCATCTCCACAAACGGCTTCTCCTCTAACCTCCTCACCTCAGACAGCATCACCATCCATGGTTGCACACCCCACTTTGCTGAGCCAGTCCGGAACCTTGGGGTCTTGTTTGAACCTCAACTATCCTTTCTACCCCACATCTGCGCTGTGACCTGCTCTGCCTTCCCCCACCTCCACAAAGTCGCCCGGCTCCGACAGTGTCTCACACCGCAGGCTGCCGAAACCCTCATACATACCTTCATTATATTGAGGCTCGACTATGCAAACTCACTGCTTGTCGGCCTCCCCAACCCATCCCTCCACAGGCTGCAGATCATCCAGAACTCTGAAGCCTGTGTCCTCTCCCGCACCAGGCTCCGTGACCCTATCACCCCCATTTTCGCCCAACTCACACAGAGGTTACAGTTCAAGATCCTGGTCCTCACCTTGAAAGCCCTCCATGGTCTTGCTCCCCCCTACCTCTCCGATCTCCTAACCCTCTACCATCCTGCTCGCTCCCTCTGCTCAGCGGGCTCCGGCCTTCACGTCCCCAGCCTCGCTCGCCCCACTATCGGCTGATGGTCCTTCTGCCATTCTGCCCCCACCCTTTGGAACTCCATGCCACGATCCTTCCACCTCGGCTCCTTCCT